TTTCCCAGGAGCAGGGTTTGGCCGGCGAACACCGGCAGCGGCCTGGAACTCATCTCCCCTGCGCTCGACTTCCCGCTCATCACAGCTCTCGGACGTTCGCGTCGCAGTCTGTCTGAGACATGTCGAGTGTTACTGAGCAAACACCGGCGAGGCCGTGTCTCGAGCAGTGTCAGTCTCGGCTGAAAGTGTTTCCGCTCTCTCGCACCAACGCTGGGAGAATTTAATTAACCCGCTGAAACTTCCCAAACGGTAGTTAACGCGTGTGAGACGGGAGCAATGAGAAAAGTGGGGGGAGCGTGGAGACGCGCCTCACCGCCCACCCACGGGTGCCTGCCGCCCTTGGCCGTGGGTAGGCAGCCAGCGGACGCCTCGCAGCTCTGGGCGGCCTCCGTTTGCCTCGAAGCCGCTGGCTCGCTCCGCTGGCCCTGCGGAGACGGACGAGGCGGAAGAGGCCCGGCCGCTGGCACGGCCCCCGGGCTCCCGGAAGAGGTCCGCTTGCAGCCTGTCATCTGCGCCCAGCCAGCTGCGCCCGTGGTTCTGGGAGGCGGGGCCGGAGACCAGGGTCAGCGAGGCGCTGTGGCGGGAACTCGGAATCCGCCCAGCACTGCTCTGACGTCAGGGGAGCCGCTGGTGGGATGATGATGCAGGCCGGGCGCTCGGTAAATTACCAAGTGCTCTGCAGTCTCAGGGCTAATCGCCGCTGTCCCAGTCCCGGGCTTCAGGAAGGGCACAGGGCCGGGCTGCCGGGGGCAAAGTCCGCTGCAAGGTGAACAGAAGGGGCTCCAGGGTCCGAGCGGGGTCCCCGGGGGAGCGCACATTTGGAAGGTGACACAGGGACAGCTGCATTGGCTCCGGGGGGCGGGTGAGGGCGCACAGCGCCAGGGAGGCCATGGGCGGGGGAGACGAGGACTTAGGGGCCAAAACACGGGGAGGGTCCCGAAAGATCAAGCCCAAGGAGGTTCTCTCGCAGGACGGTGGTTGGCCCCAGGCCTCGGCCCTGCTCCGGCCTTAGCTGGGGATCGCCTTCCTACCCCTACTAGAGCTTAGGTTCCCAACTGTCCTGGAAAACATCCTCCAACTCCAGTCCACCTCGCTATCCCAGGTACACGTGCGATTATCACGCTCTATCATAAATAACTCCTTTTAATATATTTTTAAATTGATTTCAGAGAGAGGAAGGGAGAGAGAGAGAGAGAAACATCAATGATGAGAGGGTCATTGATCGGCTGCCTCCTGCACGCCCCCGACTGGGAATCGCGCCTGAAACCCACGCACCTGCCCTGACCGGGAATCGAACCCGCCACCTCCTGGTTCCTGGGTCGATGCTCAACCGCTGAGCCACACTGCCCGGGCTAAGTAACTCTTTAATTGTCTCATTTCCACACTCGTCTGTGACTCTTCTGAGGGAGGGCTGTTAGACTATTATTAACGCTTGTGTCTATCATGCCTGGCACACAGTAGGCGCTAAAAGCTGTACACCTGATAATAGGTAAGAGAGAAACTGGGAGACAAGAGTGTTTTAAAAATCAAAGAAGAAATTTCAGATATGATGGGGTGGCCCATGGTTGGACATAACCACCGCTCCTGCTGAGGAAGACCGGGAGTCACGGGTGCGGGGGTGTCGCTAAATCACCGATACGTCAGCGAGAGCCGCTGGGGGGACCCGGGTGGGCATGAGTAGACGTCTGATTCTGATGGGTTGGGAGCAGAAAAGCAAGTCAGAAACAAGAGGCAGTGAGCAGGGACAGGCTTTTCTGGACCCCGACCTGAGGACGGGGGAGACGCCTCGTGTTTCCGTGCAGTGCTTTCCTTGGGACCCACGGTGAGAAGGACCTTGGTCCCCGGGAGCTCTGAGGGAGGACCGGCCCACAGCCCAGGCGATGGGAGACGCCGGAGGGCTCGGGGCTGGGCACGCAGAGGAAACGGCCTGAGGGGGACTTGAAGGCTCTACGGTCTGAGACGAAATGGGGTAAAGCTGATGAAGACGGAGACGAGCAAAATGCTTTAAAGGTGGATGGCCGCAGGGTTTTGGGGGGCACGGTCTGGGCGCAGAGCGGCCAGCGGAGTGAGGATGGGGGTGCATGCAGG